GTAAAACAATGCAATTTAATAATAGAAGAACCGCGTCTTGAATCATCGGATATAAACACCGACTCGTGTTCTGTTTCAGACGCAGGCATCGTATAGCGGATAATTGATTTAAAGAATGTATTTAAAAAGATATTTCAAACAAGCGTCGATTCATTTCGTTTGCCCCAAAATTCGTATGTTCCAAACGATCGTTTCGATTTTACGCACACATTTCCGTTAAACTTGTGAGAAAGATTTTGGGACAAAAGTTAGTCGGCAATCGTGTGACAATAAATTTCAGTCGAAAAGATTAGTAAACAACTTTTCACTTAATAAAAAGATCAAGATCGTTTTCATTTTTTATTAGTAAAATTGTGTTTATTTTTCCGTAAATCGATGCATCTTTGTGTCCCCTTTAAAGCAATGTTAGGGTTCTAAGGTCGGAAATGAATTAGTTTAAATGTTATGAATTTTTGCCAAACGCCCGTAGACAGAAAATTCTCCGTAATTGTCGCTCAGATTGTGCACAAAAATGGACAATTTTGAAACAGAAGATACGATTTATAGTTTTTGACAATCGATAAGTATAAAAACGAGCCGCAAGGCTCGAACAATCGTATCTCCTCTTCTCAAATTGTCCATTTTTGTGTACAATCTGAGCGTCAATTAGGGAGAATTTACTCGCGTCGGTATTTAATTTGACGCTTGTACATAGTTTCAGTGAATGAAAATAAAAAGATTACTGTAAAAGTTATTACATTACGAATTGGTAACAAAAATATGTTTATTTACTTTCCACAATACCTATGATCTAAACAATTTTAACTTGTGTCTACACAATTATGAAATTAACGTAGACTTTCTGCTATGTTTAACTTTTGGAAATTAAGTTGGCGCTAAATATAAACGAAGTGATATTATTATAAACTATAATAAGATAACAAATGTATCAATAATCAATAAGACGTTTGGTAAGCCTTGGCTATTACTACTTCTGATAAACGATTAGGCACGCTATTTATTAATTTCCTCATAATCTCCGAGGCTATTCCGTTCCATTTGATTTTTAAAGCTCTTGTAAATTGAAATTTTGCGTATCGTTCTTTTTGCGATATTCGACGGGAGGCTGTCCGCGCGTCGACTCGGATCCGCCGGAAAACGTGTCGCGGACGCGATCGAACGATTCCGATTGGTCGGAAACGGAGAAGCGTCGCTCTCGTCGGCAGCGTCGCCAGGGACCAACGAATCCGGAAACAGCTGTCCTCTCTGTCCACCTCCGTGCATGTCGCCTTCGTGATTACGTTTACGCAAGCACCGTCCCGCGATCCGCCGACAATTAACGACGGAATCGACTTCATTGTCCTCGCGTATCGTCCGATCGCTCGGCCGATCGCTTATCCCATCGCTTATCCCGACTCTCGGTCGTCCCATCGGTCGTCCCATCGCTTGTCCCATCGCGTCGCGTCGCGCAGGGCATTAGCAACGAATTACCACATGCGATAACAGCAATTTTCTTCGACGGTGCTAGTTTCACTCGTAAAACATCCCCGGAGATTCTCGCGGCCGGCCGGCTCTGTATTTACGCAGCGTTTACCGCTTCCAGATGGAAACGTTTCAATATACCAAGATACCTGCGAGATTACTCGCACGCAACGCCAAACGTTTCCTCTCGTCCCGATAACTATGCAACAATTAATTACCGACGATCTATCGACTTATCGGTCGTTATTCCGCTCTTCTGACGTCGTTTTCGCCGCGTGCTTCTCCAAAGTCGGTCCACGACCGACTAAACTCGACCCCGATCGTTCCGCGACGACGTAACTACGTCTTTGAGAAAAAAGAAAGAAGCGCAGAGACACGAAGAGAAGCTTGTCGACGGACGAACCGCTTCCTCTGGGCTAATTTTCTGGCTACGCCTTCGATCGGGTCTGCTTCGATCTTTACTTTGATTTTATTTAATTCAATTTAATTTATTTCAATTTAATTTGATTGATTTTTATCTCATTTGGTTCAGTTTGATTTTAACTGATTTAATTTTATGAAATTGTATGTAATTTAATTTAATTTTATTTAATTTTATTTAACTTATTTATATATACATGTATATATACATTTTTACAATAACAAAACAAAAGAGTAGCTTGTTTAATTCGATTTATTTATATGTAGGAAATAACGCTCACTTTTACAATGACAGAAACGAGATATCTTATCTTGAATGTCGGAGGATCAGAAAATTAGGTGATCAGTTTATAAAGACTTGTTTTAAATTTAGTAACGTTAACTGCAGATGTGTATATCTTATCGCTATTGTTCGTAAATTCCTTAAATTTCTTAGTGCAGCTTGGGTACGTTGTATAGTAATGTACTTAGTACTCGTACATTACTATACATAGTAATGTACATAACATTACTATGTATAGTAATGTACGATATATAGTAATACAGGGGGTCCATTTTATTCTGTACATATGCGTCAGGGCAACATTGTTTAGTTCAAAGCTACGAGTGCAGTAAATTCTCCCTAATTGACAATTTGAGAGGAGGAGATACGATTATTTAAAGGCTCGTTTTTAAGTCGACGACAATCGGTGATTATAAAAACGAACGAAGCAAGGCTCGAATAATCGTATCTCCTCTTCCCAGATTGTCCATTTTTGTGCGCAATTTGAGCGCGAATTAGAGAGAGGAATCACTGTACACCAGCCTAGTACGTCCACAAAAAAATAATTGTATTCTTGTACAAAAATTTCATCGCGTCTTTTACCGTCAACAAAATTGCATTAATTTCATTCCATTCCATTTCATTTCGTATCATTTATTCACGCGAAAAATCTCTCTAGTACAAGAGAATGCGTAGGGAGAAATCGAATCAAATTTATGCAAAAAGTGATGAAATAAAGGTGATTCCAGATTTCGTAGTAACTTATTAATCATGCTGTTAGCACGATTTCGAGGTCCAAACATTGTGCGATGGTTCACAGAATAGAATAGTGTACGATTCTTTAAATGTTTCGATGGCGCGTGAAAGGGGAACAATTCTATTACAATTACCGGCGATGAAATGCGATCACTTGATTACATTACTTGCAGACAAAATAGCGGTAATTTGGCTCGAAGGTACGAAATTGACTCGTACGTACGTGCTGGAATTTATCAGCTCTCAAGTACGTTCAGAAGAGCAACATTCTAGTTTTCTGAGTAAATCTGTATTTTTGAGCTCGTACGTTCTGAAGGCTCGTAAATTGTGAACCACCTACTTACTTACCTACGCAATGCGTAGCATTTGGCGGGATATTCGGCGTGTCTCGCATTTTTCCGTACATACATCGGGAGAACGTTCTGCAACTAAAAATAAGGCGAAAAAGGTTGCATAATAACAAAAAGTCCACGAATAGCTTGTTAAGAAATTATGACAAAAATACTTGTGCTAAATATGTGTACCTGTATCATCTCCATTTGAAAGTGACGACCGTTTTTGTTCACACAAATTCGACTGCAACGAGTTATTGAATTTATCGTCGATCTCGGTTGGTTGGTTGCGCGTTTGTTCAATCTCTTCACAGGCGATGCTGAACAAAATAAGGACACTTCGACTTGTTAATGACAACGGCGAGAAAATAGACATATTTGCAACAAATATTACGAGATTCAAAACGAGTTTACATAAATTGTTCACCTAAACTGCTGACTCCTTGTCGATGTTAATATTAACTTTTTGTTCTACATTGTAAAAATGGCTGTTCACCCGTGCACACAAATAAATTAAATTAACAATATTTGTAATCAATTCGTCTCTCGTATATTAGCGTTATCGTATCTTTCACAATTCCTATTTTCGTCATAACTTCTCAACGAAGCATTTATGGACATTTCGCGTTGTACAGAGTGTTTCGTCTAATTGAATACCTCGAAATGGGTCAAAGCTGCGAAGAAAATGTTTACCCAAAAGCTAGTCGGTACGAAAAGCTGTCTTGCGTGCTATTAACAAATTTTTACCAAGTTACCGAAATCTACAAGAGGCATTTTTTAAGTTTTCGTTATAGGTTCGGATAAAAAAGTTAAAAAACGAGAGTTTTTTATTTTCTTTTGTCATCCCAAGTAATAGCAAAATTTAAAACAGGCATATTTTAGTCATCGTCTAGCAGACTAGTCCCTCTCACCTGACAAACATTCAAGTCACTCGGTCCAGTTTTAAACAAGTTATTGCGTTTTAAAAGTTGCACGAAACACTTTTGTGGTCCAATGTCAATATCGCCGGCCCTTGACGACCTTTCACCGCGTAGACGTGCGGCCATTAAAATGTTAACACTATGCCATCCTCATATCTTAGATACGATTCTTTTGTTTGCCGCCGGCATAATAGCTTGGAAATTTCAGATTTAAAAAAAAATTCGAAGATGGCGGTAATATAAATTCCTAAAATTAAGATAAGTCATCCAAAAATTTTCGTGCTTAATTCTTAGTTAAACAAGCACAATGCTATAGTTGGTTTGCTGCCTGTTGCGCACGGCACAAAATACCCGCCGGAAGTCGTGAGGAGACGACAACGATTTATTTGTTGGACTCCACAGTCCTCGTTTACAATTCTTGGAGCACTGCTCCGTTCGACGTATAAATTGTAGCACGGCTACGAATTTGTTACGAAGTGTGAAGCACGGCTTCACTGAGACTATGAAATGGAAGCACGGCTTCGTATGGGCGCAAGGGCGCTGAATAAGACTGGTCTATAAGCGATAACGATATCGACAAAATCCCCCGTTATCAAATTTGCGGCAGTATATATAGACACCTGGCCGATGTTCAAGGAGAAGCATCGTCAGGTGTCGAAGGCCGGGTCATTGCCTCCTAAGCCAACGCACGTCGATCGTGTTATTGTCTTGCCGCCTCGCCGTTTATTCGACAAAAACGGCGAGACGGCTTTCTTTTCCTCTTCATCCCCGTCGAGCCGTTCTTCCGGCTCGGCGCATCATCGAATGGTGAAACTAAGCGTGTTTGTTTTTCCGTTGCGCGGGTTTCAGAAAGGGAACCGAGCGTGTCCGGCGTCGTTCGCGGCGCACCGCCGATTCAGGAGGCGATGGTCGCGGAAGACGACCTGGAGACCGACGACACCGGAAGCACAAGCGGCAAAGCCGCATCCCCCGTGAACCCGCTTCTCCAGGAGCGGTCCAACTGCGAGGAGCTGAGGCACGTCGTCTGCCACCTGGAGACGAAAGATCTGTGGGACAAATTCAACGAGCTGGGCACCGAGATGATCATCACGAAGACTGGAAGGTAAGAGGACGGTTTACGAGCCGCGGCGTCTCGGACGCGCGTCGCGTTTCGCAACGTCTCGAATTCAATATTCGGTTTCGAAAGGTCCGCACGCGAGCAAGAAATTACCGGGCGAGAATTAAAAGATCGTGGCGGTCTCCGGTGAAGCTCGCGCGGTGACGAACGACCGGTTAGATTGCTTGTATCGAGCCTCGGTCGATTAGTCGGATCGCTGCCAGCGGAAACCGAGCAACCTCGAGATCGATCCCTCTGCATACCTACGATCTCGAACACGCGAGGATCACACGAGCGGTGAAAAAAACCCACGCCGATCCTCGCTTTTCCGCCCGTTCCCGCCTTCCGAGAGCGCCTTTTAACTAGACCCATTTGCCGACAGTTTTCTCATCGCGGCTCAAATACGATCTCTTAGTTACAATCTATGTGATTACTGTTCGCAATTTGCTCCGCGACACAAAATTAGATACTTGTACGGCTCTTGCAGTAAGGTAGCTATTTATTCATTTATTTATTTATTTATTTATTTAGCATCCGCGGCATAAGTGCCCGTTTAATTTCTCTACGAAGATTCGACGTAATAATAATGATATTTAGGTTTGCATTTCTGATAGAAATGAACAGGCGGAATTCGAAATAGTAGGGAAATTAGACGAATGGAAAGACGATGATGTATTATTTGTAATCTATTAAAATTATTAAAAGAAGGAAGATGGGGATCAAATAAAATCATCATTTAACGGATCTACCGGCAGGTTTTTTTTGGAAAAACTTAAATTGTTGTAGTTTTTGAACAATTTTTCAAGATATTCTCAATAGTCGGCTTTCGATTTAAAAAAAAAATAGTTCTGTTAAAAAATTTTAAATATGTGGAAATAATAATGGATCGTGTATGAAATGATTGTAGTTCTTGAACAATTTTGTTTAAGATATTCTTAGCTGTTGGTTTTCGATTTTAAAAGAAATAGTTCTGTTAAATGATTTTGGATATTTGGAAATAATAATGGATCATGCTTGAAATTATTGTAGTACGCGTGAGAGCGACCTCGAAAAATAACCCTGACTGTAGCTTCTAAAAAGTATTATAAATAAAGAAAGTAATTCTTACGTTATTTTTTTCTTCAGCTTCCCACATAAATTACAAAAATTCTCATATTTGGAGCATGCCTCGTGATACCAAACGATCGCATCTCACAGATTCATGCCAGTCATCACTTTCATCTCTGCATCTCACGCATTCATTTTGGTTCCATTCGTCTAATAACGTGCCACTGTCTTGTAAAACTGGATTATCTCTGCTCGAGTCGTATGATTGTTGTAATTGTATTCTGCGTTTCTTCACGTCCTTCCCCCTTTTAATTGAAACATTCCTATGTTTCTTTATAGTTCCTTTGTTCTTCTTTGTTTACCGCGTTTTCTGACCGTGACAGTTGCACTTGTTTGTGAAATTAAGTGCATACCGTTCGTTGAAAGAATACGGTTATTGTCTCGCCAAGACAAACGGAGTTCTTTGGAAATTAACACTTAAACGACTGCATATTGTTTCCTGTGGGCTTACTGTAAGACCGCGGTATGTACATTGCTGTATGCTTTCAACATCTTCTGATTAAAATTTTATTTTGGAATTGCCTTCAAAAGCTTCTAGATTTATGGTTCTAACCTTCTTTATCCGAACATCTTCATTTTCCGATTGTTCAGATTTGTTCGTCGATTGTTCGTCATAGCATCGAAACACGAGAGATCTCGTGAGGGGTCGTTCAGGTGTATAAACTATTTTCAACATGAAACGAAAGCAAATTCGCTTTGAAGAAAACCAGATAGAAGAACAGTAAAAATGCCGTCGAAGGACGAACAATTAATGTCGTCGAACTCTCCCGAATTAGTATGGTCGGTCTATACCTATAATTACGGGAGAGATCGATCGTATTTTTAATATAAAGTAGAAGTGAATAAATGCGTATTATTGAGGTTATAACAGTAGTTTTATGCATGATGTATCCCTTGAAAATTCAAATAGTATAAATAAACTTACCAATCTGCTAATTTGACTGCTAAGAACATATATTAGTGAGAAAACGTTCAGATTCGCCTAAAGCTGTAAACGCAATTTGTAAGATTAGGATACAGTTAATCAATTGATTAAAGTGTTTTCCGACATTTGGCACGGCGCCATATGGCGTCGTTTCGAGATACAGTAATGTCTCTCTAATTGACGCTCGATTTGGAAACAAAAATGGACAATTTGGGAAGAGGAGATACGATTATTCGAGCTACGCGGCTCGTTTTTATAGTTACGAGTTGTCAACAACTATAAAAATGAACCGCAAGGATCGAATAATCGTATCTCCTCTTCCCAAATTGTCAATTTTTGTGTAAAAGCTGAGCGTCAATTAAGGAGAATTTACTGTATTGATATTTATAGTATACTAAGCGTAAGAAATTTGTTTCACTGATAATTATTAATGTTATTGCATTAATTTGTATTCATTCAACCATATCTATTGTTATATAATACAGCAATCTTTTTTATTTGTACAATAGCTGTCCTCAAATCTTATATTACTATAAGTGAAATTGAATTTACTATAACGAAATTGAATTTTGTGACGCACGCAACAGCTACGCGTTTTACAGTTTTTTTTTAATACAAAGAAATTTGATAATGTTAAAATTACTTTGAAACGTGATAATAACAATTTTTAATGGCGCCATAGAGTCGCTACAAGAGTGCAAAGGGTTAAACTCCCGCTCAATTTTTCGAACATTCTGTTGTTAAACACTAAGTAATATTATTTAGAAATTTTAACACATCGACACAGACACAAAGCAGCGACATTTTTGAATTTTGTCCATCGACGATCCGCGTTGTGCGGCGTTTAAATTAGAGGCGTATCGAGAAGAGGGATGGCGGTTGCTTGTCCGGGGGTGGAAATGGAAGTGGGTAAAGCGGAAAGCGGCGGCGGTGTGGGACCCGGCGGACGCGCGCCTAATTGGCCGCCTCGGCGCGGCTCGCGGCAGCTCGCAGCGGTTCGAAGCGTGTGCAGGCGACGCGGAGCGAAGCGAAGCGGAGGCCGCATCTCGGCTGGGTGTAGGCGGCGAGCCGCCCAGCTCGGGTGCTCCGCAGGCTCCCGAAGGGGATCTCCGCTACTCGAGTGCACGCTTAGTCGCGCGTTAGTAATTAGATCTGCGTCGTGACGCTGCTCGTCGCTCCCTTCGGCCGTCAACTTAGCGTGGCTCGTTTCTTCGATCCTCCGCCGAGACCCTTCGCCACCACCCTCGGCAACGGCGCTCCCCCCCTTCTCCCGCGTTTTCTCCCTTCTTCGCTGTTATTTGCAGAGACCCGAAGGGCAGAGCCGGAGAACCACCCCCTCGTGCTCGCGTGCGGCCTTCTTTCCTTCGTCGCATCCCCATCCGCGGCCCCATCCCCGTCTTCGTCGCGGTCTCGGCCACGGATCCGGGTTCTCTCTCGGTCTCGGTCTCGGTCGCGGCGCCGCGCGCCGAGGTGCGCGCGGGTTGCGCGCGAGCCGTGGGCGTGAACGTGTTCCCCGAAGGCGGGAATTCGCGAAGCTTTCTCGAGCGCGCCTTAACGAGACCGCGTCGACGAGAAAAGAATCCCGGTTTCCGCGATACGCCTCGCGAAGAAAGAAACACGGCCGGCGTTCCTCGGCCGACGTCGCTCGGCACGGGGAGTCGCGCGGGACGGAGGGCGGCGAGGGAGGAGGGCGACGGAGGGTGGATCGAAGGGGGCCACCTTTTCCCGCGAGCCGAGTTCAATTCATTAACAAAGGACGGCTTGATAAATAAAAGCATTACTCACACTCGTGGCGCTGGCGGGATGAATGCATACCGAGTCGACAAGGACCGAGGAGAAGACGTAGATAAGATCGGCGGGTGTCCCCGCGTTTTAGTGGTCGAGCAGCGGGGGGCCCGACACGGTATTAATGTTTGGCCTCCGAGGCAAAACATTCGCGCCAGCCTGATCCTCCGGCCGGCTACCCTCCCTGCCCCACTGCGCCACTGCGCCACCGACACCGCTCTCGCCGTCACCACGTTAACCCTAAAATTGGCACGATCCGCTTTCGACCGTGTATACAGCGAACGGGCCTCTCTACTCGGGACTCGTCCGACACCCGATCACCACCAGCCTCCTCTCCTCTCCTCTCCGCTCCTCGCTGCTTCGCAATCAACTGCGTCTCGTACGCGATCGCTAGGGGTGCGCCAGACCCGAAAATATCGGGAACTCGGGGTCCCGGATTTGTCCCTCGGGTACTCTGGAAAATTCCAAATTCTTATATGTTTTCACCGTTGTGGGTTATACGGTAAATTCTTCCTAATCAACGCTCAAATTGTATAAAAAGAAATGGACAATTTGGGATAAGGAGATACGATTGTTCAAACCGTGCAGTCCGTTTTTATAGTTACCGATTGTCAGCAACCACGAAAACAAGCTGCGATGCTGAAACAATCGCATCTCCTCTTCCCAAATTGTCCATTTTTGTGCAGAATCCGAGCGTCGATCGGGGAGAATTTACCGTGCTTCGACTGTGCCACTTTTTCGTCTTGCTTCTGCTGTTGTATTTCGTCCGTTCTTCTCAGCTTTGTATTCATTTGTATTAGGTCTACCGGAAAGTTCTGTCTGATAATGTCATTGCAAATTTCAATAGATACGCACATACTCATTTGTGGCATATATTTTCGAAAAATGTTGCCCACAAATTGCCATCACGCTGGCAAGAGGTCATAAGTAACGACGGAAATGATATTGTACAATATAAATATTACTGAATTTATGAAAAATCTATTATTTCCTTTCATTTTTCTCAAACGGACAGAACTTTTCGGTAGACCTAATATATTTGCAAACCCATTTTACTCGGACCAAAGTTACATCCTTTCTTTCGAATCAACATTAATACTTGACAATTACAAATAACTGTCGCAAAATTAGGATTCGAATGGAATCTTCCTGAATCTCGATCGAAACCGACTCAACGCCCGCTATCCGAGGGTGAATCATGCTTCGATACGTTTCGCGAATTCAGCTAAAGACTTTGAAATGACGCGGAGCTACGCTCTCCGTCGCGAGAGTGTTACAATGGAAACAAAAGAAAGTANATTTCAATAGATACGCACATACTCATTTGTGGCATATATTTTCGAAAAATGTTGCCCACAAATTGCCATCACGCTGGCAAGAGGTCATAAGTAACGACGGAAATGATATTGTACAATATAAATATTACTGAATTTATGAAAAATCTATTATTTCCTTTCATTTTTCTCAAACGGACAGAACTTTTCGGTAGACCTAATATATTTGCAAACCCATTTTACTCGGACCAAAGTTACATCCTTTCTTTCGAATCAACATTAATACTTGACAATTACAAATAACTGTCGCAAAATTAGGATTCGAATGGAATCTTCCTGAATCTCGATCGAAACCGACTCAACGCCCGCTATCCGAGGGTGAATCATGCTTCGATACGTTTCGCGAATTCAGCTAAAGACTTTGAAATGACGCGGAGCTACGCTCTCCGTCGCGAGAGTGTTACAATGGAAACAAAAGAAAGTACATACTTTCGTGAGAAAAGTTCGCAATTGTAATTAAAATCGTCATCGCGATTCCTTTAATTGCGCGATTTTTTCATTTCCCGAAGTTTTCGGGAATCTCGATGATTTCGGTGCTCGAGATAAAACGCGAGAAGCCGACTCGAAATATCGGGCACCCACCGCAGCGCACCCCTACCGATCGCGATAGATCGCTCGTCTCGATCTTGTCGCATCGTGCTCACTCGGCGGTTTCTTTTGCAGGAGAATGTTCCCGACGTGCCGAGTGTCGTTCAACGGGCTGAAGGCGGACAGTCGGTACGCGGTCCTGATGGACATCGTTCCGGTGGACAACAAGCGGTATCGGTACGCTTATCACAGGAGTTCCTGGCTGGTGGCCGGGAAAGCCGATCCCCCGGCACCTGCGCGCCTCTACGTCCACCCGGATTCGCCTTTTACGGGCGAACAGCTACGAAAGCAGGTCGTCTCCTTCGAGAAAGTCAAGCTGACCAACAATGACATGGACAGGCACGGCCACGTGAGTACCTTTTGCCCTGACTCGCCTTCGATCGGACGACCAAATCGATCGGTCCGCATCGCGACATTCGCGACCGGTTCGAGCGACGCCGATCTTCGATTCGTTCCAACTGCAGATCGCGAACATCTAGCTGTTTTTACGCGGAGTTTCGAGGCTTTCGGGCACGAGCCGCGTCCTCGTGGAATTAGCCTGAAAGCACCTATTACTGCGGGTGTACGATTTACCGCGGTGTTACGTTGTTGACACCGAACCTGTCATCGCCGGTCAAACGATCGGTTTCACATTTTTGATTTCGTAATTACTGAAGTCGCGAAGCTGCTTCGATTAGGAGTCGTTTAGTATACTGGATGTCCCAGTATTTGTTTAATAAATATTATATTATTATATGGAATTCTAATAAAGGAACCATGCTCTAGAATCTTCAAATTAAATTCTCGAATCTTTCAGTCTCGATAGTACTGCTAATTTTTGTGCGATAGTTGTTTGAAAGCCGAACCGAGCATAGAAAGTGTGACACAGCGGAGGGTCGAACTTTATTTCTGAAAAAAGAGGAAATTGCAAAAATGATTAGGAGCAAAATACACGATCTTCTGAAATGAGATAGTGATTTTTGGACCATTTCGTAGAAATAGTGCACGCGCGATGCGATAGCAAGATCGTCGATCTCTATTAGATCATTTTTATTGTCGAAAAAGTGATACTTCCGCGTGAGGAATGAAGTGAACAATTAAATCAATATGCAGTGGCCCACAAAAGTGAACTAAATGACCTGAATTTTTTTTAAATGATAGGGAGACTAGTCTATCAGACTCACATTTAGACACAGTCTATCAGATTTAGACAGTCTATCACACATTTTAAAATGCAATAATTATTTGAAAACTGAACTAAATGGCTTGAATTTTTTTAGACGATATAGGGACTAATCTACTAGACGACGACTGAAATGCTTTTTCTTTTTTAATTTTGCTATTACTTGTAATGAAAAAGAAAAATTAAAAACCCTCGTTTTTTAACCTCTTTACCGAAAATGAAAATTTTAAAAAATGCCTTTTGTAGATCTCGTTAACTTATATGCGTGCTGAAAATTTGATCGAAATCGGTTAACCCAGAGTCGAGTTGCATGCGTTGAAGGATTATAAAAGCTGCATTTTTATCAAAATCGTGATAAAACCGTGATTTTTGCGATCTTTAATTTATTGTAACCCGTAACAACGTGAACCGATTCCGATAAAATGTTCAACATAAATCACCAAGGTCCACGAAAGATATTTTTTAAATTTTCGGTTTTAAAAAACGGGGCTTTTTAATTTTTCCTTTTCATTCCAAGTAATAGCAAAATTACAAGAAAAAGCATTTCAGTCATCTAGCAGACTGGTCCCTCTACCATCTAAAAAAATTCAAGCAATTTAGTTCATTTTTCAAACAATTATTGCATGTTAAGATGTATACGGACTCTTTTATGGGCCACTGTACTTGTCAGCGAGATATCAAGTTCTAACGAAGAAACCGAAGGGGTCCGAAGCGTTCAAATAATTTTCTCAAATTTTTCTGCCTCGACGTGCGTTGCTAGTTTTTGAGTGACAGTTGTTTGGAAACTGAACGGGTTCTCAGCGACCCGGTATGACATACGTGGTTCGCACAGGAAGCGCGACAGCGGAGGGTTAATCCCGCGGACTAAAATACCGCTGCGTAGCGTACACCCACAGCAATGGGTACACTTGCCGTATTTTCCCAACGTGTCGCAAGCGTAGCAGCTAGAGCATCGCCAGTGGGTCGAAAGACGCAGCTTTTCCGCGTCTTTCCTTTCCGTCCGTGCTTTCGCGTCGGCACAGCATATATCGTCTCTTTGGTCGAATCTCCTTGGACACGCGCTTGTCTCTGTTCGGTCCGCGTCATTATGCCACGGCGACGGTGGCAACAACACTACCACCACCGCAAGCAACGGCAGCAGCAGCAGCAGCAGCAGCAGGGTCCTTAATTCATCGGATGACTGACGTAAATAGGAACTCCTCCGATCGGGTCAGCGGTTCTTCGCGAGGCTCATTTGGTATTCAGAGTGTTGCGCGCTGCCAGACGAAGCCAAAGCGATTCTTTCGGACGGTTATGCGAGGAACGCGCGAGAGCAACCGGGTGTTCCTAATTCGTGGCCTTTCGCTGTTCCGACTCTAGACTCGGTTCGGTCCAGGCATCCGGTCCACCGCGTCGAATTATTTATAAAGAAGAAAACCCCGGCCCAGAGATCACCGTGGTCTAATAAATTCGGAATTGCTGATTCGCAGTTGGTGCTGAACTCGATGCACAAATACCAGCCAAGGATCCACCTGGTGAAGCGGCCGGACTCGGGCACGGCCAAGCCGATCACCGACCTCGAGAAGGAGCCTCACAAGACCTTCATATTCCCGGAGGCCATATTCACCGCTGTCACCGCCTATCAGAATCAACTCGTAAGTGTTCCGCTTCGTCTCTCTGCGGCGGCCGCTCTTTCCTTTTCTTCCGGCGGTTTTTTCGCGTGCTCGCATCTCTCTCTCTCTCTCTCTCTCTCTCGTTCATTTAGACAGTTTCGGCGCGTTCGCGGCCTCACACGTGACCGGGACCGCTGTTTCGTCGTGGATCACAGTGGTTCTTCGTCGTGGTCGGTTGCTCGACCGCCGGAATTCCGGCTCGAACGATCGCCTCCTTGCCGAGGATCGAACATTGGTCCTCCGAAGTGCACGGCGCGCGCCGTTTGGTAATTCTGGTCGTGACGATTTAGTAACCGAGCCGTGGATTTAGCCTCGCGACGATTCCTCTTGCGCTCGCGCGCTCGTTCTACTTTGGATTCCCGGTTAGGCGCGCGAGAACGACGAGCATTATCGTATTTTACGATAGTCGTTTAGGAGCGCCCGCCTCATGTGTGGTCCGGCTCGCGTGCGGTTCGCTCGCATTCCAAGAGCGTCGCGGTGCCCCGGCGTCTACGGTCTCTTCGACGGGCGCGCGTTCCTCTTCTGCTCTGCTCCGCTCCGCTTTGCTCGCCAGCATGCTCCGCGTCGCCGGCGAACACGCGACGATGCGACGATGCGACGGGAGGAGAAAAATCCGCTCGGCTTCGGAGCGAGAACGGCCGCCGAAGAACCCTCTCTCGGCTCCGATGAGAAAAGAAAACGGAGCCGATCGAGAGCGTTAACGGGTGGTCCGGTTAGCCACCCTCGTCGGCCGCGACAACTGCGAGAGCGCGAGGCGGCCGTTGATGACGATGATGAGGTGCGAAGAGATGCCTCGGCAATTATCTCGGCGCGGCCGGCTCCCTCTCTGTCTCTTCCTAAATCTTCCCGCTGTTGCCATCTAGTTTTTCGTGCACCGTTCCTTCCTTCCTCTACTTCCGTCCTTCCTCTCTCTCTCTATTTTTCTCTCTTCCGTCGCTTCTCTCTTTCTTTTTCTGTTTTCTCTCTCTCTCTCTTTCTCTCTTTCTCTATTTATCTCTCTCTATTTTGGTCTCTCTCTCTCTCTTTCTCAATTTTTCTCTTTCTATTTTTGTCTCTCTCTCTCTCTTTCACTATTTCTCTCTCTCCCTCTATTTCTCTATTTCTCTCTCTCCCTCTCTTTCTCTCTTTCTCTATTTCTCTCTCTCTATTTTTGACTCTCTCTTTCTCTATTTTTCTCACCCTATTTTGTCTCTCTCTTTCTTTATTTTTTCTATTTTTGTCTCTCTCTCTCTCTCTCTCTCTATTTTTCTCTCTCTATTTTTTTGTCTATTTTTGTCTATTTTTGTCTCTCTCTCTCTCCCTCTTTCTCTCTCTATTTTACTCTCTCTATTTTTGTCTCTCTCTCACTTTCTATATTTTTCTCTTTCTTTATCCCCCCCCCTCTCTCTCTCTCTCTCTCTCTTTGTGTCTCCCTCTTTCTCTCTCTCGTCTCTTTGTTTCTCGGGCCAGATGAAATCGTCGAGGATGGTTTCGCGAGAAGCGGAGTCGCGATCTCGTTCGATCGACCGTCTCGAAACCGATTGGTCTCGGCTCGCTCGTCGCCCGTCGTTCGTCGTTATCGTGTTCGGGGACGTCGTCGTCCCCTCTCAGTCATCGTCCCCGGTCGTTGTCGTCGTTGACGAGGAGAGCTCGCTCGTTTAGCAGCGTCCGAGCTTTTTTCCGAGTCGCGCGCGAGCTACTGCGTATCGTTGCGGACGGTTTTTGTCTTCGTCTTGTCCCGAGCCTCCCTGCCGACTTCTCTCGTAACGACCTCTAAGCCATCTCGATTCGTCTTTCTCGGTCTCGCTCTCGCTCTCTCGCCCCGCGCCTCATAATTCATATCCTAACTGCCGCCGTCCTTCTTTCCTGCTCGCTCGGTCGCTCGGTCTCTCGGTCTCTCGGTCGCCGCCGTCGCAGCTCCTCCATCCGTTCTACCAGCTCTTATCGGACGGCGATGTGTCGTCTCTTCTAGGCGATTTCTGCGCTTCGAACGTTCTTCTCTGCGAAGATTTTCCGCATCGAAAATTCTTCACTTCGAAGGCTCTCCTCTTCCAGGTCCTCTTTCAGGCCCTCTTCCGGATCCTCTTCCAGGTCCTGCACCAGATCCTCTTCCAGATCCTCCTCCAGGTCCTCCAGATCCTCTTCGAAGATTCTCCGCTTTGTAAGACAGTATATTATAGATGGGCCGCCGAGCGGGCTGGTATACAATGTACAGTGGCCCACAAAAGTGTTCGTATACCTTTTAAAACGTAACTTTTTTAGAACTGAAGTCACTAGGTGACTTGAATTGTTTTTAGATGATACATGGACTAGTATACTGGATAATGACTAAAATGTCTTTTTGGTAAATTTTGCTATTATTTGTAACGACGCAAAGAAAGAAGATAGAGAACTCTCGTTTTTTTAGCTTTTTTATCCGAGCCTATAACGAAAATTTGAAACATGCATTTCGTAGATCTCGGTGACTTGTATGCACGTTGAAAATTTTATCGAAATTGGCTAACGTTGTTACGAGTTACAGATAATTAAAGATCGCTAAAATCGCAATTTTAGCGACTTTTATATCCGTTATAAGCTTGTGAAAATTTTGAAAGCTGTAACAATCTTATTCTATTGTTCAAATTCCGTACAATTAGGGAGTATTTACTGTATATAGGCGTTTGGGCAAAATTCATACCTTCTAAACTAATTCATTTTCGACCTAAGAACTCTAATATTGTTTTACAGAGGACACAGATGCATCCATTTATGGAAAAATAAACATAATTTTACTAATAAAATATTAAGATNCCTCTTCCGGATCCTCTTCCAGGTCCTGCACCAGATCCTCTTCCAGATCCTCCTCCAGGTCCTCCAGATCCTCTTCGAAGATTCTCCGCTTTGTAAGACAGTATATTATAGATGGGCCGCCGAGCGGGCTGGTATACAATGTACAGTGGCCCACAAAAGTGTTCGTATACCTTTTAAAACGTAACTTTTTTAGAACTGAAGTCACTAGGTGACTTGAATTGTTTTTAGATGATACATGGACTAGTATACTGGATAATGACTAAAATGTCTTTTTGGTAAATTTTGCTATTATTTGTAACGACGCAAAGAAAGAAGATAGAGAACTCTCGTTTTTTTAGCTTTTTTATCCGAGCCTATAACGAAAATTTGAAACATGCATTTCGTAGATCTCGGTGACTTGTATGCACGTTGAAAATTTTATCGAAATTGGCTAACGTTGTTACGAGTTACAGATAATTAAAGATCGCTAAAATCGCAATTTTGTCTAAAAAAGCTATAAAGCTTTTTAAAAAAGCTATAAGAAATCTGCAGTTTTTGGAATCTTTCAACGACTGTAGCTTGACTCTGGGTTAACCGATTTCGATTAAATTTTCAGCATGTACATGAGTTACCGAGATCTTGGAAAGGCCGTTTCTAAATGTTTGTTATAAGCTCGGATCAAAAAGTTAAAGAACGAGATCTTTTTACTTTTCTTGTCATTCCAAGTAAGAGCAAAATTAAGAAAAGGCATTTCAGTTATTCGTGGATAAATATGATAAAGTGTATATATGAACTAGTATATATACTAATATATATGAACTAATATAATATGTGTAAATGAACTAATCTCGTGGATTAGTCCCTCTATCATCTAAAAAAAAAATTCAAGTCATTTAGTTTAGTAAGCTTTTGTATATATACTATTGTATATATATTGTATGTATACACACATACATACATACATACACGCACGTACATAGTCTGTTAAGTTGGTCCTGCCTGTTTTATTTAAAGTCTCCCTGATCACCCGACTCAATACAGAGTTAAAATGGCTTCGAGTGCAAAGGATTAACAAACTTCTAACTCCTAACTTTGTAATTACAAATATTTATACTAAAATCACAGAGGTATAATTTATGTTACGCTTCATCTTATATGAAGGCAAATCGGTAATTATTCGGAACAGGATCTTCAAATCCTGCTAGAGCCAACATTTTATCGAAGAACATCGAAGTTCAACAGAAATATTCGATGTCGCTAATCGTTCACGTTATACATTCTCCTATCGTTTCTCCCGATTTCTAGAACAATTTACGTTTAATTCGAAGAAAAAGAAAAATCATTCCTCTGTCCCGCTCCCGTCAAAAGTGTTCCAACGGTTTTGACGCGAACTTGACCATATTTTTCCCACTGCGTCGCCGGCGGTTGTACAGGAAGAGAGCGAGAAAGGCGTGCTCCGCGGTAATACCTGTGTACGCAAGAAATCGCTGGAGGGTATGCGGCTCGTGTGACAACAATAACGTGCACGTATCCAGGAACATATGCGTGACAAAAGATGTCGCGATTGTATTCTGCTTCGCGTGATCCACCGTACACCCGAGCCTTCGTTTCGGTGCGAAGGTCCGCGATTACAGCGTCGCGGAAAGGGCTTATCTGGGCTCGGGTCCTCCGATCCGTGGGAGTCAGATAACGGCAGCCCCTCGAAACGGTCCGAAGATTCGAGGGACAAAAAGGAAGGAAACGATCGACTCGATTACGCGGCGAACATTGTTTCTCGCTGGAGAAGCGAGCGGAGCCGGGCCGGCCGCGTTCGCGCTCGCCGGAGCAGAAGGGACGTTTGGAAGGGTGCCAACGGTTTCGGGAGGGCTTCGTAAATTCCGGTCGACGGTCGTCGAACGACGAGCGATAAACGTCACGGGAACACCTCCTTCTCCCGGGATCGTTAAGAGCGGTTAAAGTTTCGCCGGTTTGTTTGGCCGGTCGGCGCGGTCGCGGTTTCGAATGGCGCGCGGAACAAGACGGATCGAATCGAGTGCTGCGAAAAGGTCAGCGAGGGAACGACGCGAAAGCCAACGAAAGCTGCCGCGTGGGATCGAGAGCTCGATCGGGCGACGTTGCATCGAGCGATTTAGCTTACAGTCGCACGAGCGTCGGTCAAATCGACGGACGTCGCTCGTCTCTTTTTGTTTCGCTGGTAAACAAGCGAGATATCATCTTGTTCTACTCGTGCTGAA